TATTTCATAGATCAACATAGTTTTCACAACCGAATGATACACACCACAGCTGAGCACGTGGCCTTCTGCAGGATAACAAGCAACTGTTTGTCAAGTCTAATGGATTCGATGGCTAAAATTAGCAAAACGACTTAAACAAGTATGTGATGCGCTGTATGTATGTTGACTCGTCTTAATTAGTGTATCCTTATCATGTGTCTTTAATGATCATATACACCTGTTATGCGCAGATGAGAACTTCGGTCTTCTCGGTAACCTGTTTTTGCCAACTATATCCCCCGCACATTTAACGTTTTCGTCAGTATATGATTGAATAACTGATGGTTCAGTGCTCACATTTATCATCGCCTTTCTCAGATGAATATCGAGTCAGTTGGGCCCGTATATCTGTGTAATTTATCAAAACGCAGCTATGCTGAACTTCCTACTGTGGGCAGTAGATTAATTATGTTCACAACAAATTCAAATCTGAGTACATTGTCAGATTCTTCAACACCATTTTCCTAACAAAAGACTGACAGAACTGCCGATCAAATGCCGTACAGAACATGCCAGTGCGTTCAATTTAAATAAACTAAGGAACATCTTACAAGTATTATGGTATAAGGTATACAATATATTATTAGAATATCTCTTATAGTTCCATCACAATTTAACAGTGTACACAGGAGCACAATAATTACGGAATATAACTAGCTTAACAGATAATGTATAGTTATAAAATTTATCCTGCGCCAACATCAACAATGCCTGCATCGTTTGGCAAACAGTTGGGGATATAATGCCTATCGGTATTTAATTGTGTTAAATTCTCAAATTTCTTCATCATTTTAGAATATTATGTTGAAATGATAACACACCGTTTGTCAGCACAAAACATTTTTAAATATTTTGAATTACAAATGCAGTCAATCCAAAATAAGTTAGACATTGGTAGAAATAAACTGTAAAATTCACGTTTCTCAAATCGAAGTTATGTTTTAATGTAAGCTGTTTTAAACGAGAATCTGGGCATCTTAATTCTATTTATCGAATCACCTTTTCAACTTGCGCAGTCACACTAGGCTAGTAGCCACTGTGGTGTAAATAATAGAATTGAGGTAACAATGTAATTATATTGCACCATGGGAAATTGGTATGACAAGTTATAAGGTCGGTGATTTCCGATGATGGAAACATTCGCCTTTGAGGTAAATGCGTGTTGCTGGATAGATTGACATTAATTCACTCTCAGTGTACCTCACTCATATCGCACCTGAGTATCCATTGACACAGGAAGTAACACGTAACGCCATGAATATTGGCTTTAAATTATATTTATATAAAGTGAACGCTAATGTAATCATGTTTAGGATTGTGCGTGAAAAATGTCTTCATCACTGTCACTGTTATAATGCGGCATATTTGCAACTCCGTATTTTTGGTTACTGAATAATTTAATGCTATAAGAATACAGCCTGTACCCTATACAGTGAATACAGTGTGTACCCTAGACGCCACCGTACATTACTACTTGCTTTATAACGCGCGTACTCAAAACGTGTCAAACAATTTTCTTTTTATGACAGTGCTTTTGATCGAGCCTAAAGCGGTAAGTGCAGCCGCCTTCAAAGGCAAAAAGTCCTGCCATCCTCGGCCCGATTCTTTTCTGATATATATATATGTATAGATATGTATTCTATATTGGATAATTATGCTGATTTGAATTTTACGTGGTGACGCGGTAAAGGCTTGTGGTACAAATATATTGAAAATATTACTTCCTACATGAATGATAAAAATTGCTATTATTATTTTAAATCAACACGCAAGCACACGACAATGTACGTGACATATAGTTGTTTAATATGTCTTTGAATAGAATGGGTCATCTGACAACATAAAATCGGTTTTGTTATCTAAAAACTACAAATAATTCCATCTCTGAAGTTTTAGTTGTTCATATTTCTCACGGAATAACATTTTTTTTTCAGGAACAACAAACACAACACCTACGGAAAAATCAAATGCAAAATGAAGGACTGAAATGAACACCTTTCTGGCACTTATGCACAAACTAATAAATATTGCTCAACAATTAAAGTATCAAATCACAAATTAATAACAATGGTGTTTGTTTTGGAGGTGGTAACTCGATTTACCAGGGTTGAAACTTTTGTGCTATTATAATACATACTCTAACAATGAATGAACATGGCAGCTACAGTTTAAAATCAATATCAAATTTGTTTTTCCGTTATATATAATGAATATGGATTTTAAACTACACGTGTTTTTCACGAAACCGATGTGGTCACACATAGACTTGTATCATTTTCTAAAATTTACCGACTTTAATTAAAAACACGCAATATGTGTAGACGCAACACTGAACAGAAGTACTTCAAACGAGCTCGAAAAAAATGTTATGACGTCACCGCAGTCTTCTCATAAGCGCAACATCACTATACATGCGACTCGGGCGATTCACCTTAGAACAATAGCGGGTGTGGAGAGACTGTGGTTGGCCCAGTTAGAAAGAGTAATCTAAACATGTTTACAAGCAACTAAAAAACAAAACATATTACAGCCAGCTGTCAGTTATTGTCCAATGTTGACATCTGAAATTTGCTAAAATATGAACTTGCATCTGTTCCTAGAAAGAGAAAAGAGTAGTGTCTTGTATAGGTAAGGATCTTCCACTTGAAGAACTACCAGAGTCAAATGAACCAACATGAGCAACACATTCGGTGAACTGTCCAATCATTTGCTGACCTCCATCCTCAGACTTACATTTTAAATACATTGATGTTGTTGGAAAATCGAATCAAATATGGTGGGAGAGCTCGATGTTGAAACATTCAAATGGAAGAAATTCACCACTGCCAAAACAGTGATTGAGAATGCAAAGAAAAAGTTCTACATAGCAAACCTTCTGAATGACTTGGTTGTGAAATGTGAAGGAGGTCATCACCAGGCTGTGACGTGTATCTTTCTAGTGGGTTCCATGATATCTGAAAGGCAGTGAAATTAGTGTCTCGTAATCATCATGTAATACCAGCATTAGAGTAAAATCACGAAAAGGCAGATTCTCGGATGTTTTTTTCATATAGCATATGCAAAACAAGAACTCGGAGTATGCAGGGTATTGGCATATTGTTTAGATTCTGATGTTGCATCATATCAGTAATAGTATACTACCATTTACATACTTATTCAAAACTGTTACTTTCTCTAAAATTTTGTAGATTGTCGTTGATCTGTTTTGGTGATGTTTGTATATAAACGTACAATGCATTAAATGATGTAGGTGTAGGTACTGACTGCGTATATTCGTTCAGCTAACATTAGTAATCTGATTAATGTGCAATATATAGTGAAATCTGGGAATTTAAATTATGATTCGGTGACAAATCCTGCATTGATCGAGTCATCGTACAATTCGCTCTGTAGGGGCGAAATAAACAGTCCTTGCACACTCGTATAATGCGTTTTCTTTCATAGCTAGAACATTTTCAAAATCTATATTTTGGAATAATGCTTGTGATTAAATAGTGTATCTGTAAAACCCGTCATGCTTTGCGAATAATGTATTACAATTATAATTAGGCTGATGAGCTGAGATAAGTGATATTTAGTGCAATATACAGACTATATATACCTGCGTAGCTGGGGACTTATTTCCATTTCTGTGAACATAAGATTATTTTCAAGAATCTATATAGCCATCTCACTGCATGGTTGTCGTTAAAATTATTTCTTTATTTATTCAGAGGAGATTGAACCCTGGATAAGAGGACTTGAATGTTATAGTTTAAATTATTCTAGGAATTCTTTTTTCTGGTCATCGACATTTCAACGACCCCCCCTGACTCACATCGGTGTATTATTTTAAAGATATGGAGTTCTGAATGCAAACAACTTAATACTGTGTATTGTATACTTCAATAAAATATATCGATAGTGGTGTTCCTTTCAGCCTTATATTGAGTCACTGGAGTCGCCACCTCGTCCACAATCTTTGAAGACTGCCCATCTCGGCCTGTGGTATTTGCAAATCATCAACTATTTAATGTTTATTGTGATTTCTTTACTCGATCTAATTAAATACTTCATTGCTTGTTATTTTTTAATCTTTGATATACCCAATTTCATTCATAGAAACAAAAGCGAAAAAAAAAAAAAAGCTCGTCTGATCAATTTACAATATAGCACAGAATGAACTTTTACCTCAGACAAGTATGCGGGGTTTAAAGGTCACTGAACTAAACTGATCAGTATTCATCTGAATTTGTCCAAAAATTAATACTGTACATGTAATATACCTGAGAAACAGTCAAAACATGTTAAAATGTTGTGATTGTAATTATTTCGTGACGAAAATGGCAGCCAATTAGGTTGTCATCGAAATAAAAAAAAAAAACGGAAAAGGACAAAGTTATGCCTTTGTACCAATTTAAGCAAAATCTGTAAAGTATACCCGAGAAACTGGCAAAATACTTAAGTTTGAATGAAGTACCTGACACTGCAGATATCATATTAAACAAATGGTGGTGTTTGCGGGGAATAGTTACTAGTCCCCATTATGACTTGTCTTTGTACAAAATCGGTTCAGTCATGTCTGGAGAACGAATCCACGGACAGAGTGACGAAATCTGACTCCCATTTAATGCCGATGTATAACAACGCCCCACGACTTGTATGTGTTAAGTGTGTACTAATTCCCGGTTGCCTGTCGTGAAAGAATGTAATTATCGCCGCACACTGATGTACAGTCAATCCCATAGCTGTTTTGAAGACATGACGCAATTCATCAGTCACTACACATCACCGAAACCCACAATGCTTTAACGAAGGAGTGTATGTTTGTTTTTTTCTGTCAACAGGCATTTCTAAAGTGAGTCAATCCGACTTGAATTGTTAGCGGCGCCCGGAGAATGGGTCATGTGTAAATACAGTAGCGGTGGAAAAACAACCTCGGGGATTTTACATTTGTGGATATTCTATATACGTCGTAAACAATGGAGACAGAGTTCAGGCAGGGACGGTTCGCTAATCTGATAGGCAATATGTCTAGTAACACTACGAATGACACAGTGACAGCGGACGACCCATATTCGAATCTTTGGGGTAAACGATCTGAGCATGTTCTGGCTGTTATAGGGTTTCTCTTAATCGTTATTATTATAGGAACTATATTCGGAAATGCACTTGTGATTCTCTCGCCACTGAAGAATCGTCGACTCCAAACGGTCAGTAACTATTATATAATATCGCTAGCGGTGGCGGACCTTCTAGTGGGAATCGCAGTGTTGCCGTTCAGCGCCATTTATGAACTGCGCCGCGTCTGGGATTTTGGTCCATTTTTTTGCAACATATACGTATCGTGTGATGTTATGTTCTGCACTGCGTCCATGCTGAGTTTGTTCGCTATCAGTATTGATAGATACATGGCAATTACAGACCCAATGACATATCATGTCAAGATGACATCCGGAAGAGCTTTAACTTTTATTGGAGTAGTGTGGTTGGTTTCCTTTCTCATCTCGTTCGTACCTTTACATCTGGGATGGAACACGGAAGACGGCAACGTTCAGAACTACGCAACGCCGACTCAGTGTGCTTTCGAACACAATCCTACATACAGCTTGGTCGACGGGATAGTCTTATTTTTTATTCCACTTATTGTCATGTGTGTGACTTACCTAAGGGTACTGATGATCGCCAGGCAACAAGCACGCAAGATAAATGCGGGAGCTATTACCCAAAGACGAGAGTCGGTTATCCTGAAGAGCAAATCAGCTGTGGATGAGCACAAAGCTACGAAAATATTAGCAGTTGTTATGGGCTGTTTTGTGATATGTTGGGTACCTTACTTTCTCGCTTTCACCTTCTGTCCCTTGGGTAAATGTAACGTCTCTTACGACGCCTTTGCACTATTATTGTGGTTGGGTTATGTAAACAGTACAATCAACCCAATCCTATACGCACTTCTTAACCGGGAATTCCGTAAAGCTTTCCGCCGTCTAACGTGCTGTTGTCGGAAAGAACAGAGGGAACGCCCGTCGTGGGCATCGGCCTCCGACTCTAGCGAGAACACGAGAAAGCGAAATCCGACAAGCACCGGCCCAAGCGTTATTGATGGTACCATTTCTATGACCGACCGCGCATAATGCATATGTCACAATATATTTTTCTCGGTACTCGTTTTACTGTATTTGCTATATCACTTTTATTTCAAACTGTAAACTATCAGTATGTTCACAAAATATATGTTTCGTTGTTCTATGAAAAAATATTTCGCACGCAGAACAATTGACTAGGAATTATCACCGCGGAAAAAGATCAAAGTACTAAAAATATTTCGACATATATGTTTAGGACTATATAAGTATCTCATAGTCCCGAATAGTTATCTGTTTTCAGTACAGAACAAAAACAAAATTCAAACTGAATATGGACATTCTCGGGTATAATAACTGAATTATTATATCCGTTTTTTTGCACAACCCGAGTTGACATGTGACCAGTTGAGGTTGTGCACAAATCAACACGCCATATTTTAGAAAATCAGATGTAAGAAGATTTATTTAAGCGTTTCGTTTCAACAATTGTAAATATATATATATACAGTATATCCATATATATTTATTTATCTGTATTTAAATGAAATCAATATCAATGTAGCACGTAGATAGTTTAGCGTATATATAAACTAACTTATATGGAGGAACGTAATACACACATTTCCGAGTCTAAGGTCATGTCAAACATCTAAGATGAGTTGTGGTAGTTCGTGGAAATTGACAAGTCTGTAAGGCTGAACATATGGATAATACTTTCCCAAATTGTCTTACATTACAAACCAATTCTTTGCTTATACTTTCATGACCTTCAGTAATTCAATTCCTAGTACTTTATTTTTCTGATTTGTTACACTGTCTAAAAAGAGCATTCATTAACGTACTTGCATAGCTTATGTTTTGCACTTATATATCGTGTGCTATATACGTATAATTCCAGGCTTAGTGGTGTACATTTCCATCTACCTTGCTAGAGAGCGCTGCCTAATTTGAACAATGTTTCTGCCCTTTGGGTGGTATGTGTTTGGTTTTGTGTCTGGTAAGTCAGAATAATTCGAGAATTATGTTCTCTGTAGTGTTGCGTTGTGTATTATTATATTGTCGTATAACTATTGACCTCACGTAAAATAGATATATACATGCATATCTTTCAACACCAATGTTGAAAAGTGTGCCCTCTAGAGACGCCTCTTTTTGCGACGTCGAAATGACGCAGGTTGGTGTAAAAAAGATCATTTAAATCAAACAGATTCGTTTGTATGGTTTTCGTCATTTAAAATAAAATAAACTCCTAAAACTGTAATTGTTACACGGAAGTACGATTTATAGAAAATGTTTATTACAAGTGGAATATCATCTTTCTCATTGCTGAAAGTTAGCATTCCCAACGTGTACGTGACATGTGTTCACTTTTTATTCATTAAAATACACATATGATACAAAAACAAGCTCCTTATTTTTCGTAACCTCTTATATTTTCTAAGTATGAATTTCCTATTTGGAGTCAAAGTTCATATATTCAATGCTCAATACGTAACGTTATAAATGTGTGCTGTCCATTCACATAATATAAATCATTACTCTATATAAACCTTTGAAACACGTGCATTTGAACGTTATGTTCTGGAACACGGGAGGCGCTTTACCGATAAGTAAAATTGTTATGTAGCCTGTGGCGGTGCCCTTCCTGAGAATGTGGCTTCAGCACATAAAATGCGTGATTGTACTTGGTAACATAACTGAAATATTTATCGCGACAGTAATCAGTAAGAATCAATCTTATTATAGGGAGCAGATAATTTATTATATAATATGCACATTATTATGTACGATTGTATGTAATTTAGTGTCAAATAATAAAGTTGTTTTGTTTATTTCAGCTATTAGATTACTCATCTTGATCACCAATCTGGTGTAGTGTACGGGCTTTAATTATTTTGGCTATATATAAACTTATTTTAATTTATTTTTTTATTACTTTTATTATTTTACTTTGATTTTGAGATTTTTTTAATTCTGCCCTACATACATCTGATCCGACGCCTATGTAAGTCCCGTTCAACTCTCGCGTAAGTAACAGCCAATCACAGCCCCCCTTTTTATACAGGCTGTCGGTTGCTTACTTTTCAGTGTAGTGATACTCTACGGGCAATCTTTCTGTACATTATATTTTGCCCACTTGAATAAACGATTAATAGAAAATTGCTCAGGCTAGTATATTTTTATTTACAAAAGAAATTCCACAGCATTTTACAATTTTTGTCATTACATTGAATATTTTTTTCACTTCCAACAAATGTGTACACTCCCTGATACATCTTCGCCAGCCAAGGTTCGTTTATTCAGTTATCGCTTCAATTTTACATCAAACATTGAGCATAATTATCTAGAATGGAAGCAAAAAAATAAGTAAATCGTAATGATTAGAACACTGTAAACAGCTATAGTAAACAATGCAAACTGATTTTAAATTGTACAACGCACACCGGCCCACGGCATCGACGCAGAAAATTGGAGCAAAAACATATTTCCTGATCAATTGCGATGTGTTCCAAATAAAAATATTTTATTCCAGTCGAAATCAGCCAAATTACTTTAAAAAATATTTATTGTAGTATTATGTACAAAATGTTGATACATTTTG